GAGAAATTTATATTTAATTTCATACTTACTGGAGGGGTGGTGGATAAAAATAGAGAAGAGGGGATGTATGGAGAAAATGTGTCACATATGTCATACTAGGAGAAATTCAGGATTTTTTTAAATATTGTCATATAAAATTAAGAACTTAAAACTTATATACTACTAAAATATGGGTTATTAGTTAAAATTTTATGCTATAATAATTAGGATATCATAAAGAAAAAATATATTAGTAAAATTTATATTTTCAGTCACTAAAACCTTGTGACATGCACAGTAAAGGATACCCATCTCAATAGTTAAACCTTGTCTAAATTAACATTCCCATTAAAAAATTTGTAAATCAACTGCTGAATGTGAAGCTCATGTTACCCTTTCAAAAACATACTGCAAGGGCTACTCGTTAGCATACCTAATGGAAATTCATTACTATTATTCTTTATTATACCTAATCTAACCTAAAAAGTTTCAAATTTTTACATTTAAGTTACTTTTAAAATAATACACATGAAAATCAAGAAATCAAGTACTTACCTGGGTCTTGTTTTTGCTGTGGTTGACATTTAACCTTACTTTTTTTATACTAATGGTAGTAGTGCACTAAATTATTTTTCATTAAATCAAATAATGCACCAAAGGACACAGAATAATAACACATAAAAAGGAGACAATTTTCTATAACTATCACAGTTTTTCTGGCTTTCTAACTATGAGACAAGAGCTGTTAAAAATTCAGCTGAGCTCATCGATGTGTTTCACGTGGAAATAAAGTTTGAACTCGGAGCAAAATAGACAATTCTCTGTATAGAACACAATGTAATGGAATATGCCATTTGATAGATTAAACCTTGGCCTTCTATTGGTTGCAAATAATATAGTATTAAATGTCAGAGAGAATAACTGACAATTTCTGAAAGAGAGAATGCGAAAGGTGGGCGTGGCAAGTGGGGTCTGATTTTCTATTTGGTGGCTCTGTAACCAAACAAGATTGAAGGCCATAAAATTGTGCTTTGCCTAAGTAATTATGACATTATAATAAGTAATTTATGTTAATTTTCATAATTCTTGCAATAGGTGGTAAATAAATTAGAGAAAAAGGGAAAATGTCACACTAGGGGGAAATTGAGGATTACTTTTTTAAACATTGCCTTATAAAATGAAGAACTTAAGACATAAAATGTTGAAATTTGGATTAATGGCTACGTTTTTACACCAAGTTTATTTATATACCATGATAAGAAAGTAGTTTAATTAAGTTTTGAAGGTAACTCACTAAAACCTCCTGACATATGCACAAAATGATGCCCACTCTGAAAGAGTTGATGAGTAAAATAAATTAGTTACCTACTTGGCAATATGAATACATACACACCTTTATACTATTTCATTCTGGAAGATAGTTTGAGGCTCTTCAGCTTTTACCTGTTTTATTTTGTACTCAGATTTTCTTAGTATTGTGAGCTTATGTTTTCATTCTATTAAAATGGTTGGTAAATAACACCTACCAGTTGCTTCAGTAGCTTTGGAAGAATGTCATCTAAGGCTCTGACTCCAACAGTCGAATGCAGACTGTCAAACGTCTTGGCCGCAGCTTGGCGGACTTCCTTCAGATTATCACAAAGGGCTCTCCTGAAAGTTTAGTTCACATTTTAACTCAAACAGCAGCAGGATCTGCCAACAAAAGTTATTCTATAAAGTAAATCAGAATGTCGTAGAATAAATATAAGATGAAGTCTATATAATTAAACACAAAAACTACAATGCATACTAAAAAAAGTGTATCTATAATTTCTGCTAAACCTCACCTGACAGTAGGAACCAAATTATCGAAAAATGTGAGAACCATGTCTTTACTTGTGGATGCCGTGATCTCACTGAGACCAATACACACCCCTTGTCTCTGGTCTGACTGGTCAGAATCTAGACCACTTTCAAGTATAGGAATAATTTCGGGTAACACTCTTTCTCCAAGCTTACGTACTAGGTCTCCAAGAGTCCGAGCCGCTACCTGGAGAATTCAGTGATTAATAAGTTTTCAGTTTTACCAATTTATCTAAGCTGAGTTTGATTTAAAAAATGCATGGAAACAAGAATTGTTATCAAACTCAGTATAATATGTATTAACATACAATGTGATAATGGCTTAAGATACAGACAAACACCAAAAAGCTTTCAAACTCCATGTTGCCTCTGACTGAGACTTTTAGCTCAGATGGAATAGTTCTAAAGCCACATGTTTTAACCATCAATAAAGGAACCAGACAACTACAACTGAAGCTTACACATTCAACATGGATTAACAAGTTGTAAGTTATATTACAGATTCAACATGGATTAACAAGTTGTAAATTATATTACAGATACAACATGAATTAACAAGTTGTAAGTTATATTACAGATTCAACATGGATTAACAAGTTGTAAGTTATATTACAGATTCAACATGGATTAACAAGTTGTAAGTTATATTACACATTCAACATGGATTAACAAGTTGTAAATTATATTACAGATTCAACATGGATTAACAAGTTGTAAGTTATATTACAGATTCAACATGGATTAACAAGTTGTAGGTTATATTACAGTTGAATCTGTAATATAACTTACAACTTGTTAATCCATGTTGAATCATGGATTAACAAGTTGTAAGTTATATTACAGATTCAACATGGATTAACAAGTTGTAAGTTATATTACAGATTCAACATGGATTAACAATACTCAAGTTGTAAGTTATACTATTGTTGTTACTTCCCATTCATTTTAACTCTTATTTAATAATACTGCCTCTCAGACAATGAAACAAATACTCATTTTCAGTGTACTTGCCTGACGTTTGTCAAAGCTGTTACTGGCTAAACAGCCTAATAATAATTGAAATAGAACAGGCAATATTTCACGAAGAGTCCGTGGTGTGTTAGTGACCACCACCTTCCAGACGTGAAGAGCCGCCTGGCGAACCATCAGAGCGACATCAGCCCTCTCCATATATAATCCAGCCAGTACTCGGTTTCTACATTCTGCACCCAGTGCGTTCAAAATAGCCTAAAATAGCAATTGCAATCAGAAAAATAAGTTTCCCGTAAACCATAAACTTTTCCAATAAAAATACATATCTGTGTTTTAAACAAATAAATTTATAATGTGGTAGTCTCTCTCCATTTAATACATTACTAGTCAGTTATTGAGGAATAAAAATCTAACATATACAAGTGAAATATGTAGTTCTTACCATACGTTCCTTCTACACACTCAATAATTGGTTTCTTCGAAAAATGTTTTTGACAAATAAAAAAACATGTAACAGATGAAAGTTTTTATGACCTTAATCTTCTATACTTTTCTAGAAACAGTATATCCATCATTCTACATTTGGATGGAAACTACCTTAATTAACAAGGTATCCTTATTAAACGTGGTAAAAAGTACTTATTGTATTTTACTCCTCTTATTAAACATGGTAAAAAGTACTTATTGTATTTTACTCCTCTTATTAAACATGGTAAAAAGTACTTATTGTATTTTACTCCTCTTATTAAACATGGTAAAAAGTACGGAGTAAAATACAATAATAAGAAAGAGGAGTAAAATACAATAAGTACTTTTTACCACGATTTAAATTAAATGTGGTAAAAAGTACTTATTGTATTTCACTCCTCTTAATAAATGTGGTAAAAAGAAGTTATTGTATTTTACTCCTCTTATTAAACATGGTAAAAAGTACTTTACTCCTTTCATGATCTAACCATTATTTTCAGACACAATATTCAAGATGTTATTAATATCTAAATAGAATATCTACCTTATGGGATTGTTCTGTTCCGAAATTGTCATCTTCACCAGCGGTGTCTGTCGACATTTTCCCAGTAACACCTACAGAATATACAACATAAGTTGAGCCGATTGAAAGAAAAAAAAAACATTCAAAATTCATTTACTTTAATTGTATATTTTTCTCCTCTCTCTGTGTGTGTCTCTACTTCTTTAATTGATCTTTGGAAAATAAAAGAGAACAGAAGGAGCATCAAACCAAAGAGGGTCAAATAATTAATTTTGGCAAATTAAAAAAAACAAACAAAAAAAGCAGTCAAAAGCAAAATGACTTAATGCCAAAATACAAAAGGAATAAAAATTATTTAAACTTGATAATAAACTTAAGAATATATATACACTAAAAAAAGTTTCCAAATCACACCAGAAATCTTGTAGAGCAAATCTCCCAGCAACTGGACGGAACTGTAGCGAATTCTCCAGTTGTCATCAAATAGTCCCTGCTCAAGCTGGGGAAGTAGCATCTCGATAGCTGTATCAGAGTACATACTAACAATCCTCTGACCAGCTTTTAGTGCCGTGTCCCTGACAAACTCGTTCTCGTCAGCCAAGGCCTACATGAGGAAGACACATGATCGAGTTTGAGAACAAGAAAAAAAAAGTTTTTTTGAGTACAGAAATAATAAAAAAAAAATATATAAACCAACCAATCTAAACAAAAGAACAAGGTAGTTTAAACATTTTAAATACAAAACTGTTAAGCTTCATGAAATCGTGAGCCGAGTTCATAAAATGAATATAAATTTCACTACAAGCCTTCCCCTGCTAACACTCATACAACACCGTTTAGGTAACTTTCTGTGTTGTTGCTCTTCAGAATTTTCCTGAAAAGCAACATAAAGGATGTATGTACACAGCCAACCCTAATTTTGAACTGACAACGAAAAGAAGTCACTGCTAACTCTTGGGTCACTCTTAACAAACAAATAGCGAGATCTGACCTTTAGTGTATCCACAACTCTGAAGGGCAGAGATGTTTCTGTAGAATGTGTGCCCAAACCCTGATGAAGTTCTATATACAGCCACAAACACTAGAATAAGTGCCCACCCTAAACCCTAATGAAGTTCTATATACAAACACTAGAACGTGTGCCCAATCCTTGACCAAGTTCTATATACAGCCACAAACACTAGAACGTGTGCCCAAACCCTGATGAAGTTCTATATACAGCCACAAACACTAGAATAAGTGCCCACCCTAAACCCTGATCAAGTTAGATATATCGATATATTCTGCTCTTATAATATTTTCAAGTACTTTTGAAGAAAAAAAAGGCCCCTTTTCAAGCACTTTCAAGGATGCGTATGGACCCTTTCTTGAATCACAAAATTATTTTTTAAGTTTAAACACAAGGGTGGAAAAGTTGGTAAAAGGTTCATCCAGTTGTAGAAACATAGGGTACACTTCCATCAATATATACACAACACACGTGGGTTAACTTTATTTAGGTATGTTTGGATTAAATTACTCCAGTTTTCATCTTTTAATTTCACGAAGCAAAATTCTTAAAATTACATTATTTTTTTGCGTGCATTTTGTCTCTTGCACAAATTTTCAAAAGTTCCAAGTCTCTGTGATGATGTTGTCCACAACTAAGAAAGCACTGAAAGAACACTAAAAAATTAGTTTTATATATGTAGTTGTAATTCGATCCACTAGAACTTGGTGGAGCAGCTTCCTCGACTCATGTGGCGATACATGATTTTTCTACATTTCTTTTAAAACACTGTACAAGGCGGAGCATTGAATTAATTATACAATACACATCACCTAGATAAAGAGGACAAATAAAGTACAAATCATGCTTGTTGGTTTGTTCATTCTCAAGAACAAAGCTACACAATGGGCTATCTGTGCTGTGCCTACCACAAGTATCAAAACTCAATTTATACCATTATAAGCCTTCAGATGTACCACAAGTTTCGGGCAATCTACGATGTCATCAAATACTAACCCATAAGATTGGATTGATAATTTTTCCAATGTATTGAGAAAACTCTCTCGTGAACACCATAGGTAGGTAGATGAACATCATTATGTAGCCATCTTTTACATGGGGGGCTATATCCGTTCGTTCTGCTGTAGCAATGATATCTGGCATAAGTCTCTCCAGTTTCTCAACTCCAAGTCCTCCCATTACCTCACTGAGTCCTAAAACATAAAAATCAGTTACATTTTACAGACTCCTTCCAAAAAAGTTCCTAGACTTTACACATTATTCAAATATATCACAAATACTTACCGACGTTGATTCTAGAACCTTACAAGTACTACTCAAGTTATGTTGAAATATAACACCACACTTCCAATCCACACTACTATCAATGGAACATCACACTAAATCTAAACAATGCTACTGAAAGAACACCACACCACCATCCACACTGCTACCAACAGGAACACAACAACAATTATCCACACTGCTACTAAAGGAACGCCACATTTACCATCCACACTGCTACTAAAGGAACACAACACTAACCATCCACACTGCTACCAACAGGAACACAACAACAATTATCCACACTGCTACTAAAGGAACATCACACGAACCATCCACACTGCTACTAAAGGAACGCCACACTAATCATCCACACTGCTACCAAAGGAACACCACAATAACAATACACACTGCTACCAAAGGAACAACACATTAACAATACACACTGCTACCAAAGGAACACCACATTAACAATACACACTGCTAAATTTTCTAACATAACAGACAAGTGGAACTGTTAACATCAGTCTGCTGTCAAGATCCTTTGCACCAACCAACTTATTACATGAGCTTTGGACTGATTCCCCTACAGATTGAGAATAACATTGGTAGCAGTAAGGACTCACAAGATGTGGTTATGTGATGTTTATTTGCTGACAGTGTCTATTATTAATGTGGTGTTCCTTTGGTAGCAGTGTGTATTGTTAATATGGTGTTCTTTTGGTAGCAGTGTCTATTGTTAATGTGGTGTTCCTTTGGTAGCAGTGTGTATTGTTAATGTGGTGTTCCTTTGGAGAGTATTTAACAGCTGTAAATTAGGGATTACAGTATTTGAACATTGTGCTCCCTGACCAGACTATAACCCATGTGTCATGGAAGGTCCTGATCTGACCAAAAATACCAGTCTGTACGGCTTATATATATATTAATGTAGAAAGTATGTTTTGTTACTAAGCTTTAAGAATCGTGAGCAGCAGTATATGTAATGTCCTATCATTCTTCTTCGTATGTGTTAGCATTGTGTTATCCACTGCCTACATGGTTACTATTGGGCAAAAGGTGGGATTGGCTGATATATCAATAACGAGGTGTGTAATCAGAGAAAAATTGCATCTTGAACCCCGGACCTTCCACTTCACTGCCCAGCATCTAAAGAACTAGGCTACTGCTAAAGAGATATTCACAAATTAGAAAACTAGAAAATGAAACATGAGATTACACTCAACTCATGCTCAGTAACTCTTTCTGGTTTAGAGCTGAGCCTAACGAAACTAAGTGAAGTCAACACATTAGTCCAAAACCTAGAATGGATCAACATATTTATCAATACGAATGAGAGGACACAGCTGTTAAATGCTTATCTTCAAAGTTTGTCACCATTAACTCCATCCTCCTGAACAAGAGTGACAGTCAACAATGAAGTCAAGCATATCACACCTAATGAACCACACAACAGTGAGAGTCAGCTATAAAGTCAGGCATATCACACCTAATGAACCACACAACAGTGAGTCAGCTATGAAGTCAAGCATATCACACCTAATGAATCCCACAACAGTGACAGTCAGCTATAAAGTCAGGCATCTCACACCTAATGAATCCCACAACAGTGACAGTCGGCTATGAAGTCAGGCATATCACACCTAATGAACCACACAATGGTGACAGTCAGCTATGAAGTCAGGCATATCACACCTAATGAATCCCACACAATGGTGACAGTCAGCTATGAAGTCAGGCATATCACACCTAATAGGGAACCACACATGGTGACAGTCAGCTATAGAGTACAGGCATAAACACCTA